TGATTGCTGATTTCTACTGGGTCCTAGAGATATGAGTGTCAGGGGGGGGGGCGGGTAAGGTGGAGGAGTGAATTATCGAGAGTGTGAAGGTGGGGAGGTACTTCAAGTAACAGGAAGGGGAGGAAGGGAATGAGATTGAAGACTTTAATCTTTTAGGGAGTGATATAATTTTCATCATATTATTTAAATAAACTTTAAGTAACTTTATATTCGATTTTAATATTTTTTTGTGGTAATGAATTATTAAGTCTCTATATACAGTAAGCAAATTTTCTAAGATTATGTATGAGAATTAAATTAGACGTAAAAAAATATGCTTTTGGGGATGTTAAATACTCCTCTCTCCCTTAGTCAAAATTATTGGTTAAACGAACACACTTAAGTACTACCCTCTCCCCTTCTCCCTCCCCGCCTTCCTCCCTCTCGATCCAGGAAATCAGTAAGCTAAGTCGTATTCCCTTCCCCTCGTTCACTTCCCCTCACCTCCCCTTCCTCCAAAGACTGTAATCTCAATCACCATTGCTCCCCCTTACTCGTTTAAAGGTTCACCCTATCTGCCTCTCCTTCAATCCTAGATCATAATAATATATTTTTTCCTTTCCTTTCCCCTCAGACTACCCCTTCCTCTCTGTCCCTTCTCCAGGCTACCCCTTCCTCCCCGTCCCTTCTCCAGGCTACCCCTTCCTCCCGATCTTCTCAGGCTAATCATTCCTCCCTATCCCTTCAGATTACCTCTTCCTCCCTATCCCCTTTAGCAGGCTACCCCTTCATCCCCATCTCCACAGACTACCCCTTCCTACCATTCCCCTCAGCCTACCCCTTCCTCCCCATCCCCTCAGACTACCCTTTCCTCCCCATCCCCTCAGACTACCCTTTCCTTCCCTATCCCCTCAAGCTACCCCATCCTCCCTATCCCTTCAGAGTGTGACAGTGAGGTAAAAGGCTAAAATAATTATGTCTGGTATCGTGTTTCTCAAAATATCGCCGAGAAGAGAAAATAAATAAGGTTATGGTCGGGTGTTCGTGTCTCACAAGTGTCGTCATTAGTTTAGGTGGAAAACATGAGTGTCAGGAAGTCAACCACATGATTATGGAAGATTTGTGAGTGTGTGTGTGTGTGTGTCTGTGTGTGTTACGTGTTTACTAGTGTGTTTAAAATTTCACACGAATAATAAATTACAATAAAAATATCCTATTGTTAATTACATTCCTCTTTAATCTTACGAAGTACAATAATCATCGTAAAAAAGGCAAAAAAAATTAAAATGTACAGATACATACATATTTACATGGGAAAGATATACTCCTGCAACACTGAACGAGGTCTCAGTCAACCTCCCTTCCTCAACACACACATGCACGCACACAGGTCCAACCCTCACACTACTCCTGTCCACCTGTAATACACATAAATCACACCTGTGCTCAACGTGAAAGGAAAACGTCGCCTGATACAAACTTCACATCTCGAGTTTGTTTTTATACGAGTGTGTGATCGTGTTTAATTATTCTTTTGTGTTTATTCTGATCACTTCCTGTTTAACCTTTTGCATCATGGACTTTTATTCTATCTTGATTATTTATTTTTATATAATATTACTCTCCTCCTTTTATTTCATTCTCTCGATTATTAATTACTGTGTATAAGTATATTGTCCTCATTCCATAGTATTTCCCGCCTCATTCTACTCATAGACCACATACATCTATGCCTGTTTTCCTCGTGAATTATTGTCCACATCAATTACTGTCGTGATCTACACAACATAACTCATGACTCTCCTACACACCTGTTGTACCTCCCTGTCCTCTCTCTATGTAGTGTCTTCACCTCTTTTTTTTTACTTTCTAGATTATAGTCTCACGTCTTTATATTACGTTTACATCTTCTCTCTCTATCAGCCTAGCCATCATGATCAACAGTTCGACTTCCTTGTGCCGATATGCCATTGACCTATAGTGAGAAATCATGTATGAAAATATATGAATTTATTATATATGTGTGTGTTTGTGTATAAGGTGTGAAGAGGGAAAATTATAAATTGTATATACTGACTTGTGCTACATGTCTGTTGTGTATCTGGAGTCGGTATTGACAGCATTGTTTACAGGTGTTGTATGATTGGTTTGCTAAATTTCACAGGTGTAGTGTGACGTGATGAAGTTGATAACAACACCTTTCTGTTCCTGTTACACCTTTCATCTGTTTATATGTTCCTTTCTCTTTTTCTCTCCTATTTTGTATATTTTTGTCTCTCTAATTATATTTTTGTCTCTCTTTTTTCTTCTGTCTTTCTCCTCTTTCCTTGTCTCTTCTTTCCACTTTTTTCCTCCTTGCTATCCCAGTTGTTTCCGTGTCTACCACATTTCCACCTACACTTCCGTTTTCTCCCTCTGTGTGTGTGTGTGTGTGTGTGTGTGTGTAGAAACAGAATTATATTTTTCTTTGCATGCAGAAATAGAAGGCGTTTGTGCATATCAGTGCATACGTTCATAAATCACTGTGTTCTGACAGTGAACCACCAAACGATATTCATGTGCGTGTAAAAAAGTGAGATGGTACACACACACACACACACACATATTTTGGTCTGTTATTGAGCAAGCTAGAAAATATGTACATGCGGAGATACATACACACACGTATTACCTTTTTATGTAATCTATAATGAGTGTCACCTTCTCATTTTATTATTATTAATATTATTATTATTATTTTTACTATTATTAATCTTTTCTTGTCACCCTCAGTCAGTCACTGTTTCTATTTATTCATATATCTACCTTTCCCTTCCCTGTTCTCCCTCTTAGTTCTCTTATCTCTCTCCTCCTCCCTATTCCATGAACAACAACTGTCCATAGTCAGGAAAGGGAGAGAGAGAGTATATAAAAAGAGTAGGAGTTACGGGGAAGGTGAGAGTTGGTAAGTGTGGGAGAGAGAGGGAAGAGGAGGACGGGGAGAGGGAGGGGGACGGGGAGAGGGAGGAGGAGGGAGAGGGAGGAGGACTGGGAGAGGAGGAGGAGGAGGAGGAGGAGGAGGAGGAGATCGAGGCACCTGTTGATCGCTCCGAGGTAGGGTAGGGTGGGAGGAGGAGGGTAGGGGTAGTGGTAAGAGAGTGAGAGTGAGTGGAGTGAGAGAGAGAGGAGGGAAAGAGAGTAAGGCAGGGCGGCTCGCTGTGTAAGAATAATGGCAGGATGGTCAATTGTGTGTGTGTGGGTGGGGGAGGGGGTGGAAAATTAGTGGCCGCTCTGCACTTGGTCGCAGTGAGTAACTTTTCCTTCACGCGATGAAAGTTATAGGTGACTGCCTGGCTGACGATGTTGGTGCACGGCGGAGGGGAGGAAGGAGAGATAAGAGGAAGGAGGAAAAAGGGAAAGGAAAAGAGAGGAATGGTTGGGAGAGAGAAAAAGAAAGGGAAAGGAGAGACAGAAATTACTTATGAAAAAGATAAGGAATACAAAAAGACATAACAAAATTAAAACAGAAAGAGAAGATAACTAAGCATGAAAAAAAGATTAGAAAAGGAATAATTCATGATCTTAATTCCACTAACCCTCACTAAAACTTACAGTATATTCAGTTTTTTTTTAAATATATACCCTGGCATGATAACGAACACTTTGTAAGAGAAAACATAATAATTATCAGCGTAGAAAGACAACAAAATATGAATGCAACTTATAATGTATTAGTCTTGGCTTAGGGGAGTAAATTACGTCTTCGGAATACCTGGAATTAATATTAAGTATTATTAAGTATGAAGGTGTATTAGTCTCTGCCTCTTGTACCTGCTTGTAGGAAATTAGTTTTGTGCGAAATGATTAAACTTCATTACGTTCATGAATATGTGATTAAGTACATATATTCTGACACTTATATACACAGACATACACGCGGGTACAGGTACAGGCGCGCACACACACACACACACACAGTCAGGTAATTGAATGTGCGTGTATGCGTGTATATGTATGATGTATGATATATACGTGTGTTTATAACAATTTCCTCGTAAGTATTAATATTGATATGGTATTTTTTCTTCTAATAACATAATTTGACACTTAATATTTAACAACTCTGCTCTTGGGCACAGTATTAACGGGTCCTCTCAATTACGTGTTTCTTAACCATAATTTTGACACTTTGACTGACAGATCCGTAGCAAAATGTTTCCATCTGTGAGTGTGATGTATCTTTCCATATTCTCCATATCTTCTTATTTTTCTTCCTTCGCCATATCTTTTTTTTCGTATCTGTATCCGCCTCATTCATCTTACTTTTCCTTCCATTTTTTCTCTTCCTCTCTTCGTTCTCCTCGTCGCCTTCACACCCAGTTTTTCATCTCTCCCTCTTTCACTCTATACTGTATGTGCTCTCTCATTCATTCAATCTATTTACCAATTTTTGCTCTTTCTCTCTATTCTCCCTTTCTTTCCTACTCCTCCTGCACCTCTTCCTGTTTGTGTATGTGTGTGTGTGTGTGTGTGTGTTTGTGTGTGTGTGTGTGTGTGTGTGTGTGTGTGTGTGTGTGTGTGTGTGTGTGTGTGTGTGGCAGTTCGTGGATTACGGCCCCGGCTCTCGGTTTAATGTCCTTGGATCACAGCGGCTCGACGCGTTGGATCCCACGCCACGAACGCCGATGAAAAACGAGCCTCGGGATTCCAAGATGAATGGCACATCTCCAACACATCATCCTTCAGTACACATTTTACGAGCGGATTTTAAATGGACTCTTAGACGTAGCGGATATATATATATATTTTTTTTTTTTATTATATAATATTATTTCAATGGCTTCTTATTCGTCTTGATGTGATTCAGGTGTTTTTTTTTTCAATGTATTTATATATTTTATAATAAACAAATAAAACCTTCTAGAAATATAATATATAATATATGACCAGTAATATGTAACACCAAATATTTTGTTTTGGTTCTGGGTTTTACATAACATAACATTATATTGATATTCGCTCTATTTTTCCCTCACGCGAAGGCATGTCATCCAATGGTAAGTCACCTGTGAACATTATATCACTAGTCACTGGGGGTCTGTAGATCTGCTGCTAAACAAACAAACAAAACAAATTATTACAGCGAGTAAATTAGTAAAGTGTCAAAGAGTTAAATTATTATACATTTATATCATTTATTCAGTATAAGTCCACCACTGTCATTATTTTGTAACTGATTCAACTCTTATCTTTTACCTCATGATTACAGGAATATTATTTTTGTAACGTAACAATTATATTTTTTATTCATGGGGTTGAGGAAGTCATTTCGTAAAAAAAAAAATTGTAATTTACCTGGTTTCTTGTTTTCGTTGTTACTTTTTCATTTTTTGTCTTGCTTCTACAAATAATATGAACACAGCTTATGTTTATGTATTTATCTAAGATTCAATAATAATTTGTACTCTAAATTATTCATTATTCTTGTTCTGGGACATGAAAGATTTATTAAACTGTTTACATAATCCACTCCTCTTCCATCTAAACTGTTCCGATGATTAATCCCATTTTATCTCTTTATCCTTTCTGTCTTGCTGTCCTCCTTCTCCTCCTCCTTCTTCGTTGTCTTTTGAGCAATCTTGTATCATTCTTTTTCTTACTCCCTCCCACCTCCATCCATTGAACTCCTCTCCCCGTCCCACACACACCCACACTCATACACCATTACCCCACCCAACCTCCCACCCACGTACGCAAACACCCCTTCCCCCCTCACATCCATAGCCTCACACACCCACTCACCCCTTTCTAAACCCACACACCATCCACCACACCCATCCTCCCACACTCCACATTGCACAAACACCCCTATCCTCACACACCTCCTCTCCCTCAACCACCCACACCCACACCAACCCCCCTCCCACACACACAAATAAAGCCGTGCTAAAACAGCAGCTGAGAGTAAGCCCGGGGCGTCATCCATCTTCATGAGGCACAAGTTGAAGGCCCCGCCCGGAGTCCTGCTTTGGTATGCCGTGTGTGAGGCGGGGCAGAATGAGAGGAGAGTTCGGAAGAAGCTCTAGGGAGAGGGAGGAAGGGTAGGGGATGGGAGAGGAGGGAGAGGGCAAGGCAGAACTTAATTAAATTTTCCCTCAGCTCATCTGAATGAACTCAGCTTGGGATTAGGGACTCGGCGGGGGAGGTGGAGGAGGACATGGAAGAGGAGGAGGAGAGGGAGGAGGAGGAAGAGGAGGTTTAGGTGGAGGAGGTGATGAGTTGCTTCGAGTGTGTGTACTTTGTGCTGGTAGTAAGGTATGTGTGTGTGTGTGTGTGTGTGTGTGTAAGAAAGAGAGGAGGGTTAGGATATGCTGTCGTGTGTATATCTAAAGAGAGTATTCTTTATATTCTTTACGGGCGTTATATACCTGGACTTAATTTTATGTTAATTCAGGTTGTCGTTTTCTTGTTCTTATTCCTTAATTTTTTATCATATTTTTCTCTTTGATTCATATAATTTACCTTTTCACATATTTTTCATCATCATCATCATCATCATCATCATCTTCCTAGGCTGCTCTACATTCACATTTATCTACTGCTTACCAATGATCCACCTTTCACTTCTTCTGTTTTCCACATCCTCCTCCTTCTATTTCTTTAATCTCCTATTTCCTGCTTCCCTCCTTATGCCACGTCACAGGAGCTATAGCTAGTGACGAAGACTCAATACATAACACAACACACGAGGTAGATAGTAAAGGGGTGTTTGTATCGTCCGTTGGTTACTGTGGACGGATAAATGCACCTCCCCCCATCCCCCATCCCCCATCCCCCATTCCACCACCCACCACCCTCCCCCTTATTGTGGGTCCCCTTTTTTGCAGGAGGAACGTTCCAATCCTATTATAAGGCTCAAAAGCAATCAAATACCATGATTTTGACAAAGTGGTGTTATTTGTCAACAGATAGGCTCACGCACTGGTCGAGAAAGAGAGAAAGAGTGAGAGAAAGAATAAAAGGATGGAGGAGGGAATGGGGAAAAGGGCTAGAAGGTGGGGGGGGAGGTGAGAAAGAATAAGGGAGAGAGAAAAGGGTAGTGACCTCGAAGAATGGTTTCTCATTTGGGTAAAATAGGACTTTATTTCCCTATTTCTTTAACATTGAATTGGCGACGCTTATTTACCTTTCAACAACATGTACACAGAGAGAGAGAGAGAGATATGTTTTAGACATACATAATATATGTATGTACGATTATTTTATCCCAATTCACCATAGATAAACAATATTTTGCAGCAAATCATTTTCAATTGATGAGCAAAGGTGAATCTTCTGCTGAGTCTAAGAAATATTCCTGAACACATTATTTACTTACAACTGATAAATCGAATAGATTGCCACAACAATACTAAGATATACACAATGTTAGTTTTTTTGTATTTATTATTTATGTATGCCAGTATATATATATATATATATATATATATATATATATATATATATATATATATATATATATATATATATATATATATATATATATATATATATATATATATATATATATATATATATATATATATCGTTCGGGTAAATTTTCTCAAACTTTTTTCACATAGAGGCGAAGGTGACGTGCATTCATTTATTGGTGAGCTGATAGATTACCTCTTTAATCATACCGAAGCTGCAATTCGAATATCTGATGGGCTTTCATACAGCCTTCATTAGTGGCATATGTTACGGTAATTCTGCCTGCCTGTCAGGTTTTTCTCCCAGTCGATAAGCAACTGGGTGTATTGGTGAACAACAAATTGAACCTTTTGTTCATGTTTGAACAGTATGAACGGTCATAATTTCCAACACCAGCTGCTTAGTTTCCGTGGTCAGTCAATTCGTTGTTGTTGTTATTGCTTTTCATTTTATAGAGGAAAGAGAGACGGAGCTGGATCTCTCGGTAGTATTTTAACCTAGATGTGTAGTTTTATCTTTTTCTCCAGTTTGAAATTTTTAATTTATACATAGAGATAACTAATGTGATATATATACAGCCTATATAAAGTAAATGTCCCTATTTCTACTCTCTTTCACTTAATAATCTTCATCTTCTTTCGTCTCCTCTCCTCCTTCCCGTCTCTCATTTTCCCCCACCCACCCGCCTCAAATAACTGTATATAACAAGTTCATATATATAAACCAACAACAAAGGTTTAACATTTGTAGTGAGAAAAATACCAGATATAGTTAAAGCCAATAGGAATCGACTGTTCTTTTGTTCTTACCCATTTACCCTATTCTTTCTCTTCTCTTCTTCTCTCTCTCTCTCTTCAAGTTCTCTCTTATCCCCTTAAACGATAACATCAACTACACCATTTCTATATCTCGAGGAAATAATGCAAATCAAATGTCTAAAAAAAGTAAACCAGTCATTTCTTCATGTTTAACTTGATTCTCTTCCTTCCCCTTCTCCCTCCACATCCACATCCTCTCTATTTCCTCTTCTGCCTCCTTCATCGTCATCCTCCTTCTTTCTTTTTCCCCTTCAAGGATAATACAACAAGTTCACCAGTTCTAAACCACGAGGAAATAATGAAAAGAAAATGTCCGGTAGGAGTAAGCTAAAGGGGGAGGAGGAGGGGGAGGTGTAGGAACCGTAAATGGTCAACTCCTACTTTTGGCTTTGCATGTCTCTGCTTTGTCCGGAGGGTTAAGGAAGGTGGCCGCTCCATAGAGGAAGGGGGGAAAAAATGGGTCCAGGGGCTGGCCTTTGTCAGTGGCTGTCGCTTGTTGGTCGGCTGGATTGTTGAGGTTCCAGATGATACCAGACACGACGAAATGGTTTCCAGAAGTGACTTATTCTCACTCCCTGGAAAGTTATGTTGAGTCCGTTGGTTTTATGTGTTGGTGATGGTATGTTTGGCTGCTACTGGACGCTACTGACCTACTAGATGTTACTGACCTACTGGACGTGAATGACCTACTGAATGCTACTGTCCTAATTGAACGCCTTTAACATGATGTAGATATATTGCTTATGAATTATGACTGGCGATAAAATTTATAAAAAGAACCGGAAGTCCAGACTAATAATAATAATAATAATAATAATAATAATAATAATTAATTTTTCATATTTTGAGGAGGGATAATTGTAAAAATAAAAGTTCTTGTTAATGGGAATAAATCAGAACATTTCCCTACGGTAATATTTATTTTAAAGAACTTTGATAACTACGTGTAAAAATTACTTAATTAATTCCAATGACTGAATTCAGCGATAGAGACAAATAACCTGATGTTTTGCTCCCCCCCCCAAAAAAAAAAATATTATAATAAACAATTCAGCCAAAGAGGAAAGTAGAACAAAAAATAACTAATTTCCTACCACTGACGAGGAAATTAGCGCAGCATATGGCAAAAATCACTACCAGCCCAGTATGTAAAATTTATAATCTGTGCCAAATTGAGGTCATTGCAATGTTAACTCACCCGCCGCCATAGCCCGTTCCGGCTTTTAATTTCGCATTGATTGCAAAGGCTGGAGAGTATTAGCATATTCATAGTGTTGCTTAGTGGCGCAGCACCATTAGAGACCAGCGTACCGTAACACAGCCATAGCCACAACCACTCGTAACTCATGTCATTGATTCTATCCCTTCGTGTTAATTTATGACGTGTCACCCGAGGTGTTGCTATTCTCCTAAATTCTTTAAACGATTGCATGTTTTTTTGCTGGTTTCCGTTTTATTATTATTATTATTATTATTATTAATATTATTATTATTATTATTATTATTATTATTATTATTATTATTATTATTATTATTATTATTATTATTATTATTATTATTATTATTATTATTATTATTATTAACATTACTGTATTAAAATTCATATAATTGGAATTTCCTACGAGTTTTATACATGTTTTCACGCTATTTGTTTAATAATAATAAACATAATAATGATAATAATAATAATAATAATAATAATAATAATAATAATAATAATAATAATAATAATAATGATAATAACTGCAGTTTTGCATCAGAATTAA